CTTCATAGGTTGTATGCCTGGGGCTAGACTAAACCTCAAGGTCATCTGTGACCCTAATAATATCCTGTCATTCTCCCTCCACTGCATAAAGTACAGTGTAAACTTTCCACTTAAAGTCATTTCTGCCATCAAGTCAGCCCTTCCACAGGAGAGGCAATTCCGTCCACTGGAGTGATTACTGGTCTCGGACTCCAGTGATCATGGCTAGACTGAGCTCTGTCCTTGTTAAGCTGTAACCTTGCCAAGGTCATCTTACTCTTTAGAGCATTAGTACAAAGGATATGTCTGAAAGAACTGAAGATCACTTCCTGAACTAAAATGTGGTGATTTTTCTTTCCCCATAATATTCTATGGTGTCTAGATAATACAGTATTTAAGAATAAAGCCTCTAATGCCTGTAATCCCAGCCCTAGTTCAGCCCAGCCTAGGAAATTTAGCAGCTCAGCAAGACCCTGGGGTGGGTGGGGGAGACTAAGGATGTAGCTTAGTACAAAGGTCCTAGGTTCAATCCTTAGTAACACTAATACACACACACACACACACAGTTATAGATCTGTGCCTGAATCTGGACTCTACTGGCTGTGAGACCTTAAATTACTTTTTTCTTTCTTTTGAGACAAGTCTCACTATGTTGCCCAGACTGGTCTCAAACTCCTGAGCTCAAGAGATCCTCCCACCGCAGTCTCCTGTGTAGCTGTAACTATAGGCAAGCAAATTACTTAATTACCGTTTCCTCACACACAAAAAGTGACTAAGGTAATAGTATCTACTGCATACCATGTGGAATAATACATTTACACCCTAGCTGGTACAATGTAAGCACTCAAGCCAGGCGTGGTGGCACATGCCTGTGATCCCAGCACTTGGGAGGCTGAGGCAGGAGGATCACCATGAGTTTAAGGGTGGCCTGGGCTACACAGTGAGTTTGAGGCCAGCCTGAACTACATAGCAAGACCTGTCTTAAAACAAAAAAACAATGTAAGCACTCAATAAAAGATAGTAACTCTCAAATTTCTGAGTTTGATTCACAGATTCTTGAGACGTCAATTTCAAAATTACCTCTAAAAAGACATGTAGCATAGGCCCTCGTTTAACATATATATGCAAGTAAAACAAGGATATAGTTGGGCATGATGGCGTACATCTGCAATCCTAGCACTTTGGGAAGCTGAGGCAGGGGAAACTGAAGGAAAAAAAAAAAAAGATAAAACAGACTACCAGTCTCAAAGCTTGACAGGCACTGACAGTCTTAAGGCTTGCGCCTCCTGCTAAACCCAAGAAGGTCACTGTGCCCGAAAGATGAACTGCTGAAGTAACACCAGCCTAAACCTCCCTATGTCTTAAAGATAAACTGTAAAAGCAACATCTGCTGGTACCTCCCTACCCCTGTGCTAAGTTCTGCTTCTGTAAAATTCTGCTTGCTTCCCTGCTCTGCCTAAAGAGTAACATAAAAATGAAAACAAATTTGGAATCGGGGCTCAAACTCTGGAAGGTGACTTCCACTGAATCCTCCAGCTAGTGAATAAACCTGCCTTTGCTTTCCATTCTCTGAGTGCCACTCTCTCCCTTGTTCTGCCAGCCCTCCCAGGGCCGTAACAAAACCAAAGAGTGTGAAGCCAGCCTGGGCTACACAGCAAGTTCAAGGCTGGCCTGGACTACAGAGCAAGACCCTATGTCGAAAAACAAAGGGGGGAAGCAGTAAAAATTATCTTGTATCATCTCTGATATAATCAATCAGTTTTGATCAAATGAAAAATATGTAACCATAAATGAGATAGAATTATCTGATATGACAATTAAATAAAAATGACATACATAGTCTGTAACATAAAGCAATGTATGACTTCTGCTAAGAAGACAAAGGTGGGGTTCACAAGTTTCTAACTCAGACCTCCTGGAAGTTCAAGATTAATAGAGTAATCAATGTCAGATGTTAACAAGGCCCAGCAAGTTGCCATGAGTGTAAGGGACTCATGGGGTGCAAGTGGTCACTAGTATTAAGGAGCAGGCTGCCCAGGAAATGCATGCTGAATAAAAGATATATGTAATGCTTATTTTTGGAGCTTTGTCTAGACTTAGTAAAAGCAAAGAGAAACAAAGTTATAGAGGCCATAATATCATTCATATATATGGTTAACAACTGAGCCAAATGAGGCTGAGCTGACCAAAGTACAAAATTCACAACACATTCTATTTCCACTTATAGCTTTGCCTGTTTCTTTCACATGGCAATGTTACTGTAAATAAAAGACTGGCAGTAGGGAGTGCTTCATTTAATCAAATCAAGAGAAAGAAATTAAGATTTCCAATTCACTGCTCTCCCCTCAAAACCCTAAAGATTTCATGAAAAACTGGAATCAGAAATATTGTCATACTCAGTTTCAGTTTTACATATTGTTCAGGATAAACATATTCTAGACCCCTGTATCCCAGTTTGAAGAAAGCATCAGGTCTTTGAATAAGTCTGGATGTCTGGAGACTTCCTAAGGAATGAATGATGTTTGAAAAATCTCAATAGCAAGGTATTTACACTATGCAGGTGGTAGCTCCTCACTGCTTGGAATAAATTACTTCCATACACATAAAGACTATGTCAGCAATATTCTAAAGCCTAGTTTGAAAGAATGCAGATTCTTCAAGTTTCTGTACATTATTTTTCCCCTTTATCTATCTGGGTTCAAGAAAAATCCAGCAACTTAATTTTTGTGTTTTTTTGAGACAGGATCTTGCCATGTAGTTCAGGCTGGCCTTGAACTCACTATGTAGTCCAGCCTGGCCCCTTACTCGAGGTGATCCTCCTGCCTCAGGCTTCCAGTGCTGTGATTATAGGTATGTCCCACCTGGCTATCCAATTTATTTTGTAAATCATTCCTTTCACAACTGAAACATAACACTAGGATTTAAATAGCTAGTTGAAGAACCCATATTCCATATGGCTATAATTCTGTGGCTTGAATCTTCAAAAGAGTTACAATAAATTCTTTCTTGTTTTTGGTACTGGAGATCGAACTCAGGACCTTGCACTTTTAAGCAGGTGAGGTGCCACTGAGCTAAATCCCTGGCCCAACAAATTCTTATATATTCTCCCATTTAATACACTAAACACTCAGAAATCAAAGTAAGATGATCCAATTGGAAATATAAAAACTACCTGGGATCTTGACTAATCAGGTTTATATTGACAGTATGACATAGCAGATAAACAGGTTTTGTTTGGCATTGGGTGAGGTGAGTTTGAATTTCAGCTTAAGTGCTTACTGAGTGACATCCAGACAAGTTACTTAATGTCCCTGATCTTCAATTTCTCAACAATATAGGGATGATAATGCCAATCTAATAGGAGTGTGGTATTAAATGTGCTCCAAAATATCAAGTCCCCATTTTCTTTTACTGGCCCCTTATCTCTTAAAAATGTATTTGCAGCCATATAAAACTGACCAAATTTGAAACAGAAGCGTAATATCTACCTGCTAAAAAAATTAGGACCACTTAAAGATAAGGAAAAACAAATTAGGAAAACACAGCAATTTAACATAAATATTTCTATGGCCACCACACTTTGGGAAAGCAAATGTAAAGCAATCTAAGTTACAGTTCAGTGGAAAAGAAATGTACCCAAGCTGACTACAACTTCACATTAGGAAAAACACTTTTGAAATACAAACCAGAAAGTGCTTAAAAGTACTGTAACTTAAGATAGAATCCAAGAAGATATGAGCTGGTTTATTTTCATTTGGAGCTGTTTATTTTTAAAAATTAAAAGTGCTTATGGGGATGGGTATGTTTTTTAGGCATATAGGAAAGGAAATAAATGAGCCAAGATTCAGAATCTCTGGTTAGCTCTCTCCCTCTTAAAGGGAAACCCAGCAGTATCCCTTCAATGAATGAATCACTGCCAAGTACCTAACATTTGCAGAAATATAACTGGAATCCCAACCCCAACCTATATCCCTTACAGGGCAGAAGATTTTCATTTAAAACTAGCAGCACAGTCCGAAGACCCAAAAATCTGTAACTTCTCCTATACTTCCCAAGTCTGAAAATGTTCCCCCAAATGCTTTCAATACCAGGCTTTTTCACTGTAGATCTGATACCGCTACTGCTTAAAGCTGTGCCTGTTAGGCTTGGCATTCTGTTACTAAGACCTGGCACACCTATCCAATAGGATCGCTCTATTTACCTGCTCCTCACATCACATCCCAGAAGCGTAACTGGGCTCCCAGGGCTCCACTAAAACCTCAGTGCTTCTAAATCCTTGATGTGATTCTATCTCTTGGGCTCTGACGCTCCTTCTTCCATACCATGCACTCGGATCATGGACTTCAGGGCCACACTGCCAGTCTAACAATCCTGGATCTCGAAGACCCTCTTGGCCAGCAACTTGGCTTTCGATGTTTCCACGCCTGGACCTCCAGAGGCTTGTAGGCCTCCATCCTGGGCAAGCGCGGAGGAGGGATAGAGGCTCTGGAAGGAATTAGGACTGTCCCCTATTCCGAATCATACCCCCAGACTACGTACTCCCGAAGTGTCTGCCAAGTCCTTACCCTCTCTTCCACCTTAAGACCTCTAGGGGGCTCCCCCCCATATTACTCCCCACACCAGCGCCAAAAGGGATCACCCTCCCCGCCGTCGGAGCCCAGGACGCGCGCATCCCCGCAGCCTCAGATTCTTTCACCAACACCACCCGCCCCGGCCAGCGCGACCAATAAGGTGCCAGGTCCGCGGCCTCCCTGCCACCGTCCAATCACGATCGAGCCCCCCCGCCGTCGCCTTCCGCCAATGGGAGAAAGCCCGCGGGCCTGGCCAAGGCGCACGGACCCCACGAGCACGGCGGCGGCAGCAGCGGGTCCGACGAGGACAAAACATGGCGGCAGCACGCCGGAGTGAGAGGCAGCAGCCGCCGCAAGGGGGAAGTGAGGTCCCCGTGGAAGGCGGGAAGCGTTGCCCCTCCCCCCGCCGCCGCCCCTCTCACCCTCCCATCGAAGCTCCCACACACTCACACGCCTCTAGCCTCTACAGCTGAGTCCACTGAAGACCAAAAGCCGCCCCCGCGCTCCTGCGGCGTCGGGCAATGCAGAGGCCCGGGCACAGCGGAGGGGAGGGGGAAGCGTGCGTCACGGAGAACGGAGCGCGCACGGAGCGGGGCCACAAACAAGATGGCGGCCACACCGTTTGCACCGTCTCCCCTTTCCCCTCCCCCTCCTTTGGCGCCTTGCTGCTCAGTGCACTGTAGTGCGCAGAAGCTGAGTTGCTTGAGGTCTCGCGAGAATTAGGAAGGGCCGTGGACAGGGTGAGGCGGAAGTAGAGCTGAGCGTTTTCTGACCCCGCCCTCTTCCAAGGGCTGCGGAGGCGTCGGCTGGTGACCTCCAAGGGTCTTTCGCTCCTCAAGGTTTGCTGCGGTGCAGGGGTTTTTGAGTTCTAGGAAATGAGTTTTGTGGGGGATTGTTTTGATAGAAGAGGGGACGAAGGAAGACTTGAGAAGAAAGATTGACCTAATAAAGTTTGCCATAGGCATTATAAATTCTTATGAATTTATTTTACAGGGCACTTAACACCAAAACTAAAACGTATGCTCTAGAATGAAGAACAATACTTTTCAAGAATGGTTAGCTAGTAACCTTATGTCGACACAGACTGTTTTTCTCATCTGAATGTAGAGTAAAAACTTCATCGAAAGCAATTGGAAACTACAGCTGCAATGAGCATCTTTTTCCCGTTTCTGTCATATACAAAACCACTTCATCCAAGGCATTAGTATAATTTCCATTTTATTTTTATTTGGGGGGGGGGGTGTGTTGAGACAGGGTCTTACTATGTAGTTCAGGCTGGCCTTGAGCTCACTATGTAGCCCAGGCTGGCCTGGAACTCAGTGATCTCCTGCCTCAGCCACCTCCCTGCTGGGATTACAGCGGTGCCCCACCACACCCGGCCTTAGGTAAGAAAAACAATTTCATGGCCGGGGATATGGCTCAATGGTTTCGCCGCCTGCTGCACAAGCGCAAGGACCCGAGTACGATCCCTGGTACCAAAAAAAAAAAAAAAGAAAAACAAGTTCAAAAGGTTGAGCAACTTAATCAAAAAACCCCACAACTAGTAAAAGTCAGGCTGAATTTGAATAACTTTAAAACCTGCTTATGTATTTATCAAATGTGTATTGAACAGAATTACCTAGAGTGAGACACCTACTGCTAGGTAGTAAGCACAAAGATAAATGGGACTTTCTCTGCTAATAGTAACCTTGAATTTTTTTTTTTTTTTTTTTTTTGAGATAGGGTCTCTTGCTGTGTAGTTCAGGGTGCCCTTGAACTCACTGTGTAACCCAGACTGGCCTCAAATTTGCAGTGGTTCTCCTGCCTCAGCCTCCCAAAGGCTGGGATTACAGGCGTGCACCACCCCTCCCAGCTCAGTAACCTTGAATTTGACAATCTTGAACTTTTTCTTGAAACTGCTGTTGCATGGATTCTCAACAATTAAATTAACACAATAACTACCCAGGGAGGCTGAGGCTGGAGGATGACTTCACCTCAGGAATTTCAGAGTAGCAGTATTTCCTTTCTTTGGGTTTTTTAACTCTGGTCATAAAGTAATTGAGCATGGTTGAATGGACCTTGTCCCTTGACTTGAATTCAGAAAAATGGTTCTCATCTCCAGCTTTAATAAATCTTACTGTAGGTGCTTAATATTTGATAAATGAATAAACAATGTAACCAGCTATAAAGCACCTCAATTTCTTTATCTGTAAAATGATCTAATCCTACCACCTGGAAATTTTGGGTTGAAATATGAGTGTTTTATAAATTAGAAAAGTGTTATAAAGAGATTAATGATAATCATGACATTCTCAGACATGAGAAATGACATTAAAAATGGAGACTCAAGGGGCCAGGGATTTAGCTCAGTGGTGCCGCCACCTGCCTCGCAAGCGCAAGGTGCTGAGTTCAATTCCCAGTACCAAAAAGAAAAAAGGAGACTCAAAATAAATAATGGGTTAAGAGCATAGAGAAATAAACTTAACTAGGAGGAGAAAGAAAGCTGTCTTGCTGCCCATGGTGATGAATGCCTGTAATCTCAGCTACTTGGAAGGCTGAGGCAAGAGGATCACAAGTTTAAGACCACCTGGGCAACTTGTTGAGACTGTCTCAGAAAAGGCTGGGAATGTGGCTCAGGGGTAGAGCACCCCTGAGTTCAATCCCTAGCACATACCTCCAAAATAAGAGAGAAGAAGCTATATTTCTACAAATATTGAATAATTATCACATATACTATGTTTGCAAAAGATGTTTCAAAGCAGTGGAATGAAAATAGAAAAAAAATGTAAGATGTGTAGGAAACAGCACAAATTAGTGTGTTTTTTAAATTATTGTTTTGTTTCTGGTACTGAGGATTGAACCCAGGACCATCTCACTGAGCTATATCCCAGTCCTTTTTTTTTTTTTTTTTTTCATTTTTTGAGATAGGGTCTTGCTAAGTTGCCCAGGTTGAGCTTGAATTTGTAGTCCTCCTACCTCAGCTTCCCAGAATACTGGGATTACAGGTGTGCACCACCATGCCTGGTTTGGCCTTGTTTTGATCAAGGAGATCTGAGTAGAAATAGCCTGAACCACTTCCCATCCCATGATTCAGCCATACATTTTTCCTCTCCCATGAGAGCAGCATGAGCCACGTAAAGCTTCGAAAGCTTCGGTCCCAAAATGAAGGTGTGCATAGCCATGGCTATCACATATGACATGTAATGTAAACAAGAAATAAACTGTTGCCATAAGCCTCTGAGATTGTTTTGGTTGTTACTGCAGCATAACCTAGCTGGCCTAATCTAATGTGACTTGGAAATTACCTGGAGGTAAACCTCTAAGAGCTTGTTTACAAACATGATCAAAAAATCAAACTATGATCCAGTTGTATTGGAGGAATCAAGAAGGCAGATGTGATTGTAATTTGTTAAATGAAAGTCTAGTCAATCTTATCAGCCAATCCTATTTGGAGAGAGATTCTTTGACCTAAAGGGCTTGATCAGCTATAGCAGCCTTCAAAACAAGCAATCATAGAGGCTAACAGCAGCCTTGCTCCTTTAGGTCTTGGCTCAGTCAAGCCAGCTTACACATTAGGATTTCCTTGTCCATGTCATCTACATGGTGGACAAGAATATCAGACCGCCTCGACTAAGAAATGCTTCAGCATGCTTTCCTGATGTGATTCTATTCTCACCTATCAAATCTCTTGCCTATAGGGACAAAATTGAGTAATCTCCAACCTACAGGATTCTAGTTTTGTTTTAGATAGAAGTGTTTAACTATATTACCCAGCTCCTGGACTGAAGTGATCCTTTCACCCCAGCCTTCTGAGTAGATGGAACTACAGGCATGTGCCAACCAGCTTCATGTATATATATATATATATATATTTGTATCTTTCATTGTAAATCAGATTCTGGTTTATATAAATATCCATTTTTGTGAGCTTAGTGAATACAAGAACTCCTCCCCGGGGTGGGTTGTACCACTCCCTGCTTACTGTTAGAATCAGGCCTGACTTTGCAAAGTTAAAGATCAGTTCTGGACCCATGATAAATTCTCTAAGGTTATTTGTCTTAGAGACCTGTCTGGATGCCCAGTTAGATTTCCTTAAGCCACATCCCTCCATTCCATTATGTGGCAGCTTTGATCTAAAAGAAAAACAATAATACTAGAGAGATATTCAAGTCATATGGTGTCAGAATTCAAAAAAGGAAGAGACAGGACTGGGGATTTAGCTCAGTGGCACCACTCTTCACAGGCACAAGGGCCTGAGTTCAATCCCCGGTACCAAAAAAAAAGATTATTACCACCTACAGTAGTATGAAATAGCGAGTGAGAGGGGTTCAGGAAAGATTTGCAAGGAGGTGACCTTGAACTGGGTCTTGAAAAATGAATAGAATTGGTAAAAAGCATGCTGTGTGTAGGTGGCCATGAACAAATACAGGAAGCAAGGGATCAGCTAAGGAAACAATAAAAGGAAGACTCATGGGAAGATGTATTATAATCAAATTGAGGCTCTTGGGTTTTACCTTCTGCTAGGGAGAGCAAGTGGTGAAAGTTTTTGTTGTTCCTTTTTTTTATTTAAGCAATTATAACCAATTTAAAGTGTATCACCAGAATTTTTCATCATTCCATACCAAAACTTTACACATTAAACATTAACTCCCCATCCCTGGCCCCTTTCTGTCTCTGGCAACCACCATTCTACTTTCTGTTTTTATGAGTTTTTTCTAGGTACCTCATATAAGTAGAATCATGCGTGTCTTTTTATGTCTGACTTATTGCATGTAACATAATGTCCCCAGGTTTTATCTGTGTTGTAGCATATACCAAAATTTCTTTTTATTGTGTATATAATACATTTTCTGTATATAATACATTTATTTATTTATTTATTTATTTATTTATTTATTTTATTTTGATACCAGGGATCAAACTCAGGACCTTGCGCTTGCAAGGCAGGTGCAGTGCCACTGAGCTAAATCCCCGGCCCAATACATTTATTGTGTATATATTACATTGTGACTTCTTTCCTTTTGCTTTGTTTGTTTTTGGGGTTTTGTTTTTTTTTTTTTGTTCTTGGGTTGACTTGGGTCCTTGCGCTTGCAATGCGGGCAGCGCAACCACTGAGCTAAATCCCCAGCCCTTTTGGGTTTTGTTTTTGAGGCAGGCCAGTACAGGCTGACCTTGAACTCAGTATATAGTCTTGACTGCCCTGGAATTTGTGATCCTCCTGCCTCAGCCTCCCAAGTGCTGGGATTACATGCCTGTGCTGCCACACCCAGCTTCTTGGTTTTTTGTTTGTTTTTTATTTTGATACCGGGTCTTGCTGTGTTTTCCAGGGTGACCTCAAACTCTTGGAGTTAAGCAGTCCATCATACCTGACTCTAGAGTACATTTTGTGTATCCATTCATCCACTGATGGGCATTTGAGTTATTTCTACCTTTTAGATACTATGAATAATGCTGCTATGAACATTAGGGTACATATATCTGTTGGAGTTCCTGCTTTCAACTCTTGTGTATGCACCTAGAAGTGAGCTTTCTGGATGATACAGTAATTTTATGTTTAATTTTATGTTTTTTGAGGAACCATGATACTGTTTTCCACAGTGGAATCATACCATTTACTATCCCCAATAGTTTTCCCA